ACACTACTGTAGTCACACTTTAGATCTAGTTCTGACACTCGGACTTAACATAGACAGGCTTAATATCTTACCCCAAACCTCAGTAATCTCCGACCATTACCTAATCTCTTATGAGCTACGTCTTAGCCATAATACATGTACGTCCCCTCGCTATTCTGCAAAGCGTGCAATAAAACCACTTACCGCCCTAAAATTCATAGAAAACCTCCCAGTACTAACAACCCTAGTCTCCACTCCATCAGACCCAATGGAGCTAGATGTATTAACCGACTATTTAGAAAATACCTTCCGATCTACTTTAGAAAATGTGGCGCCACTAAAAATCAAAAGGATAAGACAGAAAAAGCTCGCCCCATGGTACGATGATAAAACCCGTACCTTAAAACAAACAGTACGGAAACTAGAGCGGAAATGGCGATCAACCAAGCTGGAAGTGTTCCACTTGGCCTGGAAGGACAGCCTTATAGAGTATAGAAATGCTCTCACTAAAGCTCGCTCAGCATATCTGGCCTCGCTGATCGAGAACAATAAAAATAATCCTAGAGTACTGTTTAGTGTGATCTCTAGAATTACAAAAAATCAGGCAGGTACTGAACCACAAATTCCGGCGACCCTCACCAGTGAAGTTTTTATGGACTTTTTTAATAATAAAATCGAAAATATTAGACAACAAATTCAACCCACAGTATTAAATCCAACTTGGCTGTCATCTGACATGGCTGATATAAAACATAACATAGCTGCAGAAGAAAGGCTTGAAAATTTCTACCCACTCCCACAGCTAGAACTAGAGAAGATTATCTCCTCTGCAAATTGTACAACCTGCACACTTGATGCAATCCCCTCAAAATTACTCAAAGAAGTACTACCAGTTATCATTAATCCTCTTTTAACTATAGTAAACTCGTCCCTTAGCCTGGGCCATGTACCCAGAGCTTTTAAACTAGCAGTTATTAAGCCCCTGATCAAGAAACCAAACCTTGATGCTAGTGTATTGTCTAATTACAGGCCTATATCTAACCTGCCATTTATATCTAAGATCTTAGAAAAAGCTGTAGCCCAGCAACTTAGTTCATATCTACATAAGAACCACATATTTGAGAAATTCCAATCTGGATTCAGGCCACATCACAGCACTGAGACAGCTCTAGTTAAGATAACAAATGATCTTCTTCTTGCCTCTGATCAAGGCTACGTATCCCTGTTAGTGCTACTTGACCTCAGCGCAGCTTTCGATACGATAGACCACAATATTCTCCTTGAAAGGTTAGAAAACATGGTTGGAATCACAGGGACAGCCCTATCATGGTTCAAATCTTACTTAACGGAACGTTATCAGTTCGTAAAGGTAAATGACTTATCTTCCAATTATTCACAAGTAAGATCTGGAATTCCGCAAGGCTCTATTTTAGGACCATTATTATTTACATTATACATGTTACCGTTAGGCACAGTTATAAGTAGCCATGGCATTAACTTTCACTGTTACGCAGACGATACGCAACTGTACATATCAGCCAAGCCTGATGACAAATACAGGTTAAAGAAAATAGAGGACTGTGTAAAAGATGTGAAGGGTTGGATGTCGCGTAACTTCCTCCTCCTAAACAGTAACAAAACAGAGGTTCTCCTTCTGGGTCCAAAAGTGGCAAGAAATAAATTATCAGATTTAACTTTAAATCTCGCTGACTTTCCAGTTATACCAGGTTCAGCAGCAAAAAATCTTGGTGTAATACTCGATCCAGATTTATCATTTGATCAACACATAGGCAGCATCACTAGGACAGCTTTTGTACATCTTCGCAATATCGCCAGAATAAGAAATGCCTTATCGCTGCACGATGCAGAAACATTAGTACATGCCTTTATTACCTCAAGGCTAGATTACTGTAACGCATTACTGTCAGGATGCACCAGCAGGAATTTAAGTAAACTTCAACTAGTTCAAAATGCTGCAGCCAGGGTTCTCACTAAAACTAGAAAATTTGATCATATCAGTCCAGTTCTATCATCACTCCATTGGCTGCCTGTTAAATTCCGTATTGATTACAAAATTCTTTTATTGACGTATAAAGCTCTACATGGGCTCGCTCCTGAGTACCTGCAAGACCTTATTTCCCTTTACGAGCCACCACGATTACTCAGATCACAGAGTGCTGGCTTTTTAATAGTTCCCAGAATTCAGAAGGTTTCATCTGGGGGAAGAGCCTTTTCTTATAAAGCCCCCAAACTCTGGAATGATCTTCCAGAAAATGTTCGGGACTCAGACTCAGTCGCAATATTCAAATCTAGGCTGAAAACTCATTTGTTTAGTTTAGCTTTTGGTAGCTAATGTTTCCCCTTGGATAAAGGCAGCAGATCCAGGGGTCCATGGACGCAGGGAATTATAGTAAACTGAGACGCTGGTGCTGTCGTCCCGCCGCTCACACGCGATCACTCAGGTTTGTGGACGGTGGAGCGGAGGAATGCCAGATTGTTTCAGGGTGCTCCCGTGTCTGTGTGCCCTTTTGGTTCTCTCCTTTTAGTTAAGCTGTTATAGTCAGATCTGCCGGAGTCGTTAGCCACACTCTGGAAATGTTTTACATACTACTATACATACACCCATACAGAAATAAACTAACTCCATTTCCCTACCTTTCTTCCGAGAAAACGACTGCTCACCTGTCCGGCCGGACACTGCTGGATGATTGTTTGTAGAGCTCTCCGGCTACCCGCTTCAGACCAGTTACCCACAACCCAGTCACCGCCACCTGCCTTGGACTGGCTGCCCACTCTACACTGAAGTCTCCTAACTATTACTACTATTACTATTAATATTAGTAGAATAATAATTTTGTACGTAGTTTGACCAGAGGAGGATGGGTCCCCCCATGTGAGCCTTGGTTCCTCCCAAGGTTTCTTCCTCAACTGAGGGAGTTTTTCCTTGCCACTGTCGCCCCTGGCTTGCTCACCTGGAGGATTTACATTTCATGTTGAAACTTTGTTCTAAACGGATTTCTGTGAAGCTGCTTTGTGACAACATCAGTTGTAAAAAGCGCTATACAAATAAATTTGATTTGATTTGATTTGATTTGATCTAGAAATGCTGCCACCTTCTCTGGGCCTGAGCTCATTTAAAATGGACTGAGGGGAAGTGGAAGAGTGTTCTGTGGTCCAACATTTCAAATTCTTTTTGGGAATCATGGACACTGTGTCCTCCGGACTAAAGACCACTCAGCTTGTTGTCAGTGCACAGTTCAAAAGCCAGTATTCATGATGGTACAGGGGTGCATTAGTGCAGTAATAAAGGATTCTCTTATGTGCACATCTGTGTGGGCACCATTAATGCTGAACGATATATGCTATACGACATGTTTTGGCAACATATGCTGCCATCCAGACAACGTCTTTAACAAGGAAGGCCTTGTTTATTTCAGCAAGACGAAGTAAAACCACATTCGGCATGTGTTACAGCAGCATTACTCCATATTAAAAGAGTCCGGGTGCTAAACTGACCTGCCTGCAGTCCAGACCCATCACCACTGAAAACATCTGCCACATTATGAAATTAAAAATACTACAAATAAGCCCCTGAACTGTTGAGCAGCAGAAATCCTAGATCAAGTAAGAACAGGAAAACATTTCACTTTCAATGCTACAGCAGTGTCTCTCAGTTCCCAAATGCTTACAGAGTGCTGTTAAAAGAAGAGGTGATGAAACACAGTGGTAAACAGGCCCCCGTCCCAACTTTTTTGGAACGTGTTGTTGGCATCAAATTCAAAATAGGCATAAATTTTTCAAAAAACAAAATTTCTAGTTTCAACATTTGATATGTTGTCTTTGTACTATTTTCCTTTAAAACTATGGTTTACATCATTTGCATATCATTGCATTCTGTTTTTATTTATATTCTGCACAGCGTCCCAACTTTTTTGGAAATGGGGTTGTACAGCAAATTGCAAGATGAGCAGAGAAAATCACTGACTGGTAGGTCTTCACCCTCAAAACCAGTATTCATCTAGGATGTGGAAGAGGGTGGGGCAGTTTCACAGAGGACCCCTCACCCACTGGTCACTCTTATTGCATCTAAATGGTTAAATCTATGGCTATCAGAAGCCAAATGGAAAGTCTCCTGAACCCTAAAGGGAACAGTAATATTAAACAGTATGGGACTGGATTTACAGACCATTTTTGGGCAGCATGCAGGCTGGTCAGAAACACACTAAACAGCTCTGCTCTTCTGAAAGCCTTCAATCACTCACCATAGAATAAAACTACTATATAAAGCCAAACTCCAGGACCCTCTATTATCACTAAATCTAAATCCAGAAGCGGACCCCACTGGCAACCCTCCTACCTAGGCTTAAGCAGTGACACCTCACCCGAACCTGACCAACAGCACCCCCACCCAAACTGGACCAAGACCCTCCCACCAAACAAAGAAAGCAACCCCCATCCAAACTGAACCACTCAAACACGTTTTCATTTCAATTAAATAAAAACAAGTAGTAAAAATAACCTTGCAAAAAAGTTGTAGTTGCTGTAAAATAAACTCTAATTGCTGAGCGGCTTAATGAACTGCAGTGAAAGCAGAATATTCCGCTTCTACCAGCATGATAACTGGATCCGTTTCCTCTGAAATAAAGCTTCGAAAGGAGAGGAGCTAAACCAGCACAACAGAATTCAATTAAACCTCTAACAGGAACCAAGAACTAAATGTTACTGACTGAAACTGAACTGAGAAAAAAACTAACCCTGTTCTCGTTTTAAAACACTCAGGAAAGTACAAATCTAAAACTTCTGACCAGTTTCTTCTCATCTCTGACCTCCAACACCATTACCACCCAAATCACAGAGCTAAGCGCTAACATTAGCCGCCTCAGCTCAGCGCAGTGTGGGTGAAGGTGCTGCTGAGTTAGCTCACTTATTTCACATCTTATGTTTTAAAAAGAGGATATTTCTCCATCACTCGCAGTAAAAACCGTGTAAACAGAGTAAAAAAGCGATAAACAGCGATTTACCTTCAGCAGATCAGCTCCTGTTTCTCTTTGTAACGCAGAGCGCTGCTGCTGCTTCTTCTCTGCTTCACTGTCTTTGCAGAACCACACTTGTAAGACTTGCGCCCCCACCTGGCATCAAATTTAAAATATTGAAAAAAAAACCAAAAAAAAACACAATAAATATTTTCTCAACATTTCATATATTGTCTTTGTACTGTTTTCAATTACATATACCTAACATGTAATTAAATTAATTGTACATAATTGCATTGTTTTTATTTACATTTTGCACAGCATTCCATTTTTTTAAAAATGGGGTGTAATTAATTTAAAAAGATAGATGAATAAATAAATTGGTAAATAAATAATACAACAAAAATAAAATAAAATAAATAAATAAAATAAAATAATAATAAAAAATAAAAAATAAAATAATCTCTCTCTCTCTCTCTCTATATATATATATACATATATGTTTATATATCTATATATATATATATATATATATATATATATATATATATATATAAATGAATGAGTTAATTACTCATAAATTCATTTGTTTCTTATTTGTTAAAAGCCACTTGAACGCAGTACTCGCCGAATACAACATTAAAATTTTTCATACTTACTGTGATACAAAAATCAGAAATAAGGGTTAATTCTTAGCTATCACTGCGAGACGAGAGTGAGTTTAAATCCCTTATTAGAATAAAAGCTAAATACAGATACAGACAGAGTGTGGAACATGATTCAAGAGTAAAACTCTCTCCTTTAGTACCCAACATTATGGACTTATATGCAGTATGTCAAGCACACTCCTCTCTTTAATCTGTAGGAAGTTATTATTGTGTGTGTTTGTGTATGTGTGGAGCTGGGGGGGCATATACAGTCGTTTTTTATTGTTTATTGAGCTGAGCTACACTTTAGCCTAGTATGCAGACCTTTCTTGGCTTCGTTTTGGAAGACTCAAAACTTTTTATGGCCATGCCTCCACTTCACACTCTTCAACTGGTTGTGATGGCTGTGCTCATTTCACAGGATTTCTGAACTAGAAGGAAGAATCTCAGTGCTTTACCAAATTGAAAAGGATGAAGATCTTTTAGACTCTTTGCTCCAAAGAGGTAGATGCTAGAAACCCGCAAGTTGTCGCTGCCCCAGTCCAAGCCAAAGATCCATGGAATCAGTTCGGAACAAAACCCAATCTCTGGGGAGTGAGCTGTTTTACTCCAAGTCAGATGAAACCGTGGTCTGTTGCTAGTGGCTATATGCACAGGGGTAGATATTCCACCTGCCACACACTTCCAGATAATATTAGACTCACCAAGAGCTTCTCCATCCTGGAAGAGTTGGGAGATGAGTCACCTTCGTCTCCTGTTCACCTGGGGGCTGAACAGCCACCGGCATGATGCAGCCAAGTGGCTTTCCTGGCCATTCACCACCAAGCAGCAGGTCCTGCCAGTCTGCAGGAACACTGCTCCACTCCACCAGACTCCACTGCATAGCTACCCTGCTGTGATCATCTACACTGTAAAAAACGAGAAGTCCGCTCAACTTAAAATGATATAGTGATTGATTACAAGGCTTTTCTTGAGTTGACTCAACACGAGGACAGTAAATTTCACCCAACTCAAACTTCTTAGTTGAGTCGAAGGTTCTCCAAACTATTTCTAGATCTGCATCTCAGTTAGATAAACAAAACTGAATGTGTTTTTTTTTCAATTTCCCCACAAGCTGGAACTCCTTCCATCACACAGTCCCTTCTGGCATATTTCCCTCTTGGGCTTCTGGTTATGGATGCTATGGCATTGCTGGGATTCAATCTCACAATCTCCTGATGTTGGGATGAATTATTAGACAGCTGGACCACAAGATAATGCCACACTTTAAAGTTAAAACAAACAAATAATTTCTACAGTGTATTAAACATTTGTAGGCAAAAAATCTGAGCTGCTTTGTGTGTTCTTGAGTGGTCCAGTGGACTAAGTCATCACCCCAAAAGGAGGTTGTGAGTTTAAGCCCCAGCAATGCTAAAGACATCAATAAATGAGTACTCAAGATGACAAACATCTAGCAGGATTGCATGATGGAGAGAGTCCTGGCTAGGGGAGGGGGAGTTGAGTACAAAAAACAAGTTCACTTTATTTTCCTAACTGAGACGCAGAACTTTTGGCTCAACTAAGAAGTTTTAGTTGGGTGAACTCTTGTGTTCTCAACTCAAAAAAGCCATGTAATCAGTTACTATATCATTTTGAGTTGCGCTGACCTCTCATTTTTAACAATGTAGCAGCTGCTCCCCTTTTCTGAGGACGATGGCATGGTTATCCCAGAATTCACGGCTGTGGGATGTAGGCCAGCAGGCCTACCACTCAATGCTACTGCCATTGTACACTACCTGATGGCCAGATCACCTCTCTATGCTGCAGAATCCCATCAGTTGTCTGACTTTCTGCTCCCCTCCAACCACCCTGACAGTAGGGGACTCTATTATCAGGGATATTAAACACCTCTTAGACCCACTGCTTCTTAAGCACTAAGGTCCATAATATCACACAGCAGCTCCCCAGCCTTTTAGATAAGCACTGCTCTGTCTGTAATATTGTTATACGTGTTGGTTGTTACAACACTAAAGATCACAGTTCAGAACTGCTGAAAAAGATACTTCATATATTTGCTGTCATCCATAAAAAACAAATTTGTGGCAAATCTGTTTTTGTATCTATATTCTGGGAAGAGGTTCAGGACAACTTTTTAAGTTGCATGACTGGCTCAAAAAAAACTGTTTCTCCACTAATACAACTTTTATTGACTATTTAAATCTTTTCTGGAACTGTCTTTCATTGTACAGATGTATGATGGGATCCACCCAACCAGACTTGGTTCACAGATTTAAAGTTACAGTGTATTCTATGCTGTTATTAAGTCCAAACGACTACACAGTTCCAGCAATGTCAGGTCAAATATTCCTCTCATTATCAGTAGTTGGCCAAGGATCAGCAACACAACTGTAAAAAGCAATAAAGCTATGCAAACAAAAACTGTTTTATAAACCCCATTGAGCTGTCTTTGCTATCCCTCTGCTCCGTTTCAAACTCACAAGTCTTAAAATCTACACATACTGTCAGCTCTATAAAAGAACAAAAGAAAAAAAAAACAGAAATTGTCTAGGCAAAATTCACCCAAACATTAGTAGTCTACTTCAGAATGGTAAACTGGACCAACTGAAAACTCTTATCTCACAATATGATCCATATATTGTCGTATTAACAGAAACTTTCTCTTAATACACTTACATTTTTTAAGTGATGATAATGTAGATCTTAATGAATACAATTTATGTAGAATTGACAGAAAAAATGCGGCAGAGCTGCTGTCTACATAAATAAATATGCTATGAATTTTCAGCTTTGAATGAGTGCCTAGGTCAGAATGATTCATAAGATAAGATACGATAATCTTTTATTAGTCCCGCAACAGGGAAATTCATTTGTTATAGAGAGGATTTACAGGCCTCCTTCTGCTCTTTTTTCTGCAATTGACAATATAGCTGAAATTTTATCTCATTATACTACTACAGAAATGCTGATCCTGGGCAATCTTAATCTCAACTGGTTGAGTATCGCATCTGATCATTTGAAAGAAATTTGTGGCAATCTCTCCTTTATACAAGTTATTACTAGAGTCGACTAGACCAAATCTAAAAGATCAAAGTGATTCCACCTTGATCAACCTAATCATATCCAGTAGAAGTGTTAAAATTACTGCTTCTGGTGTTTTCGATCTTGGTTTTAGTGACCACTGCCCTATCAGATGCGTCACAAATACTAGCATTAGACTAACGAATGGTGGTTAGAAGAACTTTTAATAACAGGCTGTTCTTTCTGGCTTGGCACTGACATTGACATGGCATGCAGTACATGCAGATAGTTGATAAGCATGCTCCTGTTAAGAAATTCTAAATTCAAGACTGATCTAGTCCCTGGCTTACTTCTGAAATTTCTACCTTACTTAAAACAAGAAACAAAGCTTGGATAATTGCTAGAGGATCCAGAGACTGAGACCATTGGCTTACATTTAGCCAGTTAAGGAATAAACGCACTACTAGAAAAGCCAAATCAGATTATTGCTTTATCTTTGCTTAATTACTAACTAATTTCTTTCTTCTCTTGCAATTTCTGGAAGGCAGCAACTTCTCTTAAAATCAAATAATTTTCCATTTCCCATCCCTTGTTATACTAGATGACCAAAATGAGCTGTGCTAAGCTTTCAGTGCATTAATTTATCTGCTGCTAGACACTTTTTTAATGATAATAATATTTTTTTGTCTTTCAGTGCATCTGATGTGACCTCCGCTATAAGCTATGGTCTCTTCACACTAAACACCTTATTTCCACATTTAGTAGCAAAAGCCCTTGCTGCTATTAACCCTTGAAAAAACTACAGGAAAGTATAAATTGGTCCCTGACTTTTTATACATGGTGTTACATCTGTTATGTCCCCATCTGATTGTTACCAACACCATCACAATCTAGGGGTCTGCAGGGAATGTAATATAAATAATCAAGCAGATACAGAAAAGTTCTGATAAAAGGTATCTCTGTATTTAAGCATGGCAGTAAATGGGTTATACAGAGAAAGAGCATACAAACAAACTCACTAGAGTCACTATAAATGTATGCAGGGTGAGCCAAAATAATGAACAGAACAAATCTCCTAATTAGCAACTAACTTAATGAAAGTTAGTCTAATAAAATAAAAACTCCCTAACAGAAAAACAGGAGAAAAGAAGAAGAATAAAAACAAAACAACACTCACCCCTAATATAGTGACAAGTTAGAAAACTACTTACATATAGTCAGCTTTAGCTAGAAACATAAGCACAAGGCATCAGAAACAAATCCATATCTGACCCAAAGAACCACTCTGAAACTATGGGCCGCCAGGTTCTTAGACTAAAGTGGTACTAAAGCTTATTACGAAAATAAACCCCAAAATCTGCCATGAGGCAAAAACCCCACGCATGGTATCACATCCGGTGCAGGCATTTTATCGTCATGAAGCTGTTACGTCACCACCAGTTGTGAC